TGTGGCTGAGCTGGTGGGGGGGTGTTCTCTTCTGATGCTGTTCAGGGGTGCATGGATCACAGAACTTGGGTTTGGGGGACTTTTGAAACATCGTTAAGAATGTTCATCAGTGCAGTCATAAAATATTACTTACACAAACTTTAAAGCGTACCGATAAAACATTATTAATATAGTCACTCCTCGTTTAGTGACCAAGTTTTCTGTTCCAATGGCCAGGTCATCAAATCACATATCTGTTAAGTGAAAAGGCGTGACTGCGACTGTACTTACGAATTTGTCAGCCTTCCATGCTCAATTTCTTCTATCCTTCATGAAGTGGATGTTTTTAACAACATTTTGTATGATCTGCTTTATGATCTGCTTCTTGCTATGAAAATACACTGTTGTAATAATCTTTTTTCTTATTGATGTCGTGGTTGTAAAAGCCTGAATCATATCCCCCTTTTTTTAAAAAAAAAAAAACAAAAGTAAACACAAATGAAAATGACCTTTTTGCTTGTAGTTAAGTAGCTCTTATGTGCCATATACTGGTTGTGGGCGCCATCTTGTGTTCAGATGACCTGCCACGGAGAGCGCGGGTGCGGGGCGGGGTGCTGCGCTCCTCCGTGGGGGAGCAGGCGGAGATGGGCCTCCCGGAGCTGGACCAGGTGGACAGCCAGGGCTGCAGGTGGCGCCACTTCCGCATAGGCAGCCAGGAGTGCAGAGTCAACATGTCTGTGCTGGAGCCCTACTTGCAGGTGCTGTCTCATGGCGGTGAGTACCAGGCTCAGGTGTGAGGGGCGGAGCTCCGGTCCCAGTGATTCGTGAGAAACGGGGCTGAAATTTTAGCTCTGGCAGGGATGTCCACGGGACCTTCCGTGTGTGCATGGCGTTTTTGGTGCTCTGCTCTTGTAATCACTTTTACCACATGAATTTGGTTTGATTAAAAAAAAAAATCAACCTAAAGTGTATATAGAGGAGGGACTGAAGTGTCTTTAATAACCTTGATTTCCCACAGATTTCAAAAGGGAGCAGGCAGCTCCCTAAACACCTTTAAATCTAGCCTCTCTCTCACTGCAGGTTACTGTGGTGACGGAATGAATGCTATCATCGTCTTCTCCACCTGCTATCTCCCGGAAAACACGACCAAGGACTACCAGTACGTCATGGACAACCTTTTCAGGTTAGTCGGACTGCGGGGGCGTGTCCAGGGTGTCCAGGGCGTGTCCTAATGACCCTTCGGGGGCCGGGAGGTGTGGCCATTTGTGGTTGGCAGTGTGTGTTTACTTTGAGATAAAGGACACTATTCATTTCCATTCTCACATTGTTCTGAAGGTAAATTGTGGTCCTTAGGGCTTTTCTTTTAGTCTGTAATACTCTCCATTGTATGATGAGAATAGGCAGCTAGCTGTGTTGTGGAGGAAGTGAAATGGTCGTCGGTTTTCTTGGTAGGGGTCCCCCCCCCAGGTTGAGCCTTGCCTGGGGCCCCTGAAAAGGTACCAGCCCAGATTGTTTGCTAGGTGATGGGAGCCAGTTTGGGGAAGTGATCCAGTTGTGTAAATGTGCAGTGTGCAGCTGTTTGCTAACCTGTGTTTCACCATGAGTATACGCCTAGTTGCTTACATGGCATGTAAACTCAATTAACTAAGTCCCTTCTGGAGCTTATAACAGTGATTTGATGGGACCATGTGTGTCTCGAACTAAAGCTGATTGAGACTAACTCGTGCTCTGTGTGCCAAAGGTACATCGTGGGCACGCTGGACCTGATGGTCTCGGAGAATTATGTCATGGTGTACCTGTGTGGAATGGCCTCGCGTAACAAGATGCCCAACGTCAAGTGGCTTCGTCGGTGCTACACCACCATCGACAGGAGGTGCGTTTGTCGCACTCGCAAGGCAAATGGTTCCTAAAATGTTTGTGAATTTAAGCCCTGGTAGAACTTCAGCTCAAATGTCTTTTTCGTAGATGCAGATGACAGCCTTTCTAGTCGGTGCTATTTTCAATTGAGCCAGAAGAGGGCGCCTGAGGGACTTGGTAGTTCTTTTCTCCCCCATGTCTATGATTTGATAGGGGATTCATTGTGTTGGCAAACGGCCTGTCAGGGTCTCTTCCTGTCCTCCCTTTATCAGCTCTGATTTTTGAAACATGACAGGAATGCCGCAGTATTTCATGTATGAATGGAGCTGCTGAGAGACGCGAGCTGAAGATTTTTAGCATTCCTCTGATAACCCGCGGACCTCGGTCCCGCTGCGGCCATCCGGAGCGAGTTTCCGTATCAGCAGGCAGCCTCAAACCTCCCGGGGATGCCGAAGGGGGCGACACCCGTCTGTAGGAGCCACACGTGACATCAGCTTTCTAGCATTCAATTTTTATTTATGCTTTATGAGTGTGTGACTTCATCGCCCCCTGTTGACATTCGTAAGCTTTGATCTTTCACCCGTACAGAACATTTTGGGTGTGTAAATCAGTGTGGTAGTCCGCCTTTTTTTTATTTTATTTTTAACTTCTAAGCATTGATTAAAAAAAAAATTTTAAATTCTCTTCCACTCTTAGTTGTGGTTATATTTGTGCTATTCAGGTTTCGGTCTCCTCAGACATTCTACCCAGTGATCTTCGTATTTACTTCTGCTCCTGTCTAGGATCTCGTGCCTTCAGGGATAGTTTGTGGGATAACGTCTGTACCCTGGAAGATGCATGTATTACCCGCAGTGCTTATTTAGGAGTGACTGTCATCGTAAAGCGCTTGACAGTCCTCACAGGATAGGGGCTTTGTCCTGTATTTATATCTTGTACTTTTCCATTCTGCATCTTCTGCCGTGCGTCTCTCAGTATGGTTATGAAAAACATTCCCATTGTGTTTTTTTGTTTTTTAAAGAAAAAAGCCGTTGAGGTGATTCATTTAACGAGCCGGTACTAAGCCTGAGGTCTGAGTGTGCTGCTCTGGGCCAGTACCGCCACATCTCGTCCGGCTATGACATGGCTGCCTTCTTCCATTCTGACTTACGCTGTACAATAAAGGTGGAAATAATTCCTGGTTTTTACTCCCCTAAACTTTCATGATAATCAGAATCTTGACTCCGTGGGGCTGCTTGTGTGTCCCTCAGGGCTGATGTCATCGGGTGGCTTTACCTTGAAGGAGGCAGATTTAATGGCTGCGTGACTCTCTACTCAGTGGTCTCTTGGCCTCTGTGATCATGACATCAGTTGCCTCCGCAGCGCTGCTGTGACTCACCCAAAGCCTGACTCTGCAGATGAGTCATGGCTATTAGTGTCCAGGGGGTTCTAGCTTATTGCTCTAGGCGTTTCTTAGTCAGTTCCAAAAAGCCATGTGCAAACACCCTTAAATGATTAATAAAACCTTCCCACTGTGAAAGTGGTGGTGTTTCCTACTAGATTTGCTTTTCGGACGTTGGGTTAAATGAGCTGAAATTTTGTGTTGTCCCTGATTTTAAAAAATAATAAAAAAAAAAATAATAAATCAGTTCATACTTTGTTAAAATGATGTAGGTGAAGGGTGGTAAGCCTTATCCAAAAAGGACGAGTGTATGCAGGTGTTTGGGATAACCTTTAGGTCAGCTGTTCAAACCCAGGTGTGAGGACTCTTCAGCCAATCAGCCCTCTAATTACTAACCTAACTGAGGAGTTGCAGCAAAACCTGCGCACACTGCAACTCTTCCTGGATAAAACTGTCCGCCCCTGATGGTGGCGGTGAAGGTAGTTTGCAGTGCCCAGGTCATCACTGCAGTCATGTTCCTTGCTGAAGTAGAACAGCTTCTCACTACTTCTGAGGGCACTGGAAAACAAAGATTTGGCGGGGAAGTTTTGAACAGATTGTCAAGTTGGTGATGGCAATGGTGGAATTTTCTGACTGTCCTGTGCAGAGGAGAATGCTGCAGATACAGTGTGATAGGAGTGGCAAGAGCCGTGCCTTGGCTGGCCAGTTCACCATGCTTCCTCTTTACCAGGCTAAGGAAGAACCTGAAAAGTGTCTTGGTGGTTCACCCCCTTTGGTACATCAAGGCTCTGATCACCATCATTAAACCTTTTGTCAGGTGAGGACAGGGGGCCTTATTAGCCAATGGCTTGTTCTAAATCATGAATAAGTGATGGACCCTCGAGGGAGGGGCAATCAATTTTCAGCCCTTGTACATGTCTCTGGATGACTGATCCTGCTTTTCCAATTGTTCTTTGCTTTGGGGGGTCTCCTAAATAAATATGTAACCTACGTGCATACCCCCAGTGTGAAGTTTAACCGGAAGATCCGGCTGGTGCACAGTCTGAAGGAGCTGTCCCAGATTCTCCCGATGGCACAAGTGCAGATCCCAGACTGCGTCCGCAGGTGAGTGTCTACACCACTGAGCCGCAGCTCTGCTCCTCTCCTCTCCTCATTCAGGCTTAGGAGGCCGAGCTGATCCAAAGTCAAGGCTGCGTACAGTGATTCTGATTTGCTACGCCAGTGCATTCCTCCCATACCTACATAAGTGATAGATCCAGCCCTGTGTGTACATCTTCTCAGGGGCCCTAGGCTAAGATTTACTTGGGAGACTGCCCCCCCCCCCCCGAAAACCGCTGATCGTTTCACTTCCTCCGCAACATAACTGCATGCTCTGCTTATAGCTAGAAACAGCTGCCTTGGATGTACATGTTGTTGTTGTTTGTGGTTGGGTTTTTTTATTTTTATTTTTTAATACATGCGGTGCCCTTTTAAGGTGTGTTTCTTTTAACGGTTGCGTATAATGTATACCCTGTACAGGTTTGATGAAACGATGAACAAGTGAAACGCGTGATCTTGCAAAGCAAAGCTGGAATACGGCAGACCTCCCAAGGTGCTGACCTAAAAACCACCCCGCAGCTTGAAGCTGAAGTTCAGCAAGTCGCATCTCGATCGGCCGCTCTAACCTCCCCCCCCCTGCCTCCCCGAGTTCATCCTGAATCATCCATGTGGTTTGGGAACTGTTTGATGCCAGACTGGTTCCTTCACAGAGCTGTGATGGTTTCTGAAATGGGATCCTATCACTATGGCAACTGTCGGTCTGCATCCTCCCAAGATGTGTGTCAACCCAAGGAGTGTTTCATAACTTGTTTTTTTTTTCTTTCCCTTATTTTAAAAATAGACTTGACCTCTCCTGTGTGTGTGTGTGTGTGTTGGGTTTTTTTTTTTTTTTTTTTTACTTGTGGGCTATGAGTGTTGCCTGTCCGATGGAGTAAGCAGAGTCTCTAAAAAAATGGTGCATTTTGTTGCCAGCTGTGTACGTTCAAAGTGGCAGCTTAGTGTGATTTTTATGCCAGGCCCCGAGTCGTCTTGTATATGTGTGTGTGATGAGTTTTTACTTGTATTAAGTATTTCGTATTCAAATATTTATTGTTCCTGTATGTTGAAACGCAGAATTGCCTCAGTTAAGGGCATTTGCTGTATTACTTGCAATAAAGTGTCATTTCTTAACCTGTTGTATGTGGGGGGAAAGTTCAGTCCTGTTCAGTTGGTGTGGAGGTTTCGGGCATGGGGGCACTGCCCCCCAGCAGGAAGCCGATTGGCCCCTGGAGTGCCCCTCCCATGTCACTCATTGATTCCAAAGATATCATTGGCTAATAAGGTTGGCCCAAATGTATAAATTTTGACCCCTCTTATGCCCCCCCCCCCCCCCTTTAAAAAAAAAAAAAAAATTCCCCTGACTGGGTGACAGTGATTATAAGGGCTCATACCTTCCTTTTAAACGGCTGTCGAATTACAGGGAAACTCCAGCCTCGCTGATGTGGACCTCAGGTGGCAGGAGAGGGAATCTTCAGCTCATGCTTTGTCCCCATGACTCTCCAGGGTGGCTTGAAGATGGATGGATTAATGATTTGTAGAAGCATTCTGTCATCCTCCTCAAAACACATGGCTCTCCCCTGTGGGTCTGAAATATCACGAGGCCTGTCAGTAACGTCATGGTAACTTTTGGGAAATGCTGGACAGCCTTTGCATTGGAATGGCAAGGTCCGAACAATTGGAGCTGTACCCACTGACAGGATCTTATTAAAATAAATAACTTGTGTAAGGGACAGGCCAACTTGTATAATGGGACAAATCTTAAATACAAAGAATTATGCTGTCGTGATTGTGGCTGCCTCAATGTGAGGTATGTTTACTGAGGTATGCGCTGGCTGTTTTTTTACAGGACTGCAAACACATAGGGTACCTGACACCCCCATTGTGTTGATTACAGCGTTGTAGAGGAGTGTCAGGCAGCATGATCCGTATCTCACAGGACCCAAGCATTCAGGAAGTGGGCTTTGATATATAAAGGAAGTAAGATCAGTGATGATGTTATTGTATGCTTTATGCGTAAATGAGGACAGAAAGATGTCAAGTTCATTTTGGACTTTACTTTCAGTATCGTCCTTTTGTGTCATTTTTTATGATAAATTAACTGATTGACACTCCACAGCCCGAGCAGAATCAGTGCTTCGAAGGTAGATGATTGGCAGATTAATCGAATCACAATTTGCCGTTTGCTTTTTTTCTAGGTCTTATTTCTCCATTTCGCTGCACTTGTAGTTGTAAATTTGTTTTTAACCTTGCAGCTCAAACTAAAGCTTTAAACTCTAAAATCTAGATAAACGAAAGAGAAGTGTTTTGAATCCAAGTGAACAATGAAAGCCCAAGGGCTGTGTGTGTGTGCTCCAGATCCACCTGCTGCTCTTAATCACAAAGGCCGACCTGTTTTTGTTTAAATGAAGCATATTAAAAGGTTTTATTATTATTCACACCCCCCATCCAGGCAATATTTAAGGCCTTTAAGATGTATGGATGGATGCTTATAGAAATGCAGATGAGTAAACAGTGTTGTAAATAACTCATAAGACTTTAAGGGAAGGGAGTGAGTTTGTCCACGAACTTTCTGGCCAGATAGTGGGAGATGAACAGCTGTTAATCCAAGTCCAAAAGCAGTGTTCCATATCTATTCTCACTTTCTTCCAAACACCAATCTACTGACAGAAGTAGGATGAAAACTAACAGTGATTGTCTCTAAAGAAATTAATTCCTGTAGTGTTACTTTTTCCTATACAATTTTTAAAAATCTGCCATTTACCATGTCCCCCCATTCCCAGTCTGCCTGTGTAATCGTAAGAAAGCCATTTCAGCTGGTTAACGCTTGACTATGCTGATATATAACCATACCTTTGAATGCCTGATTCAACAGGAACACCTGTTACAAGTAGGTCGTTTTTCCAAAGTTGCCGATTTCAATTTGAGTCACTACTGTAATAGCAATGTTTTTGTAAATGTTGTTAGAACATTCTAGTGTGATTCATTGTAGCTATGTAGTCAGCCAAAGCTGATGTTGATTTATGTATTGTCACTTTTTTGTATTTGTTTTTTAAATATCAAGCTGGAAGGTGGCATGATGACGCAGTGGTTAGCACTGTTGCCTCTGGGACCAGGGTTCGAGTTGCCATCGTGGCTCTTTGTACATTCTCCTCGTGTCGTTGTGGGGTTTCCTCCAGTTCCCCCCCGTCCAAACACATGCTGAGGTTAACTGGAGTTGCCAAATTCCCCATAGGTGTGCATGGTGTGTGTGTGCGCGTGCGCATGGTGTGTGTGTGTGCGTGCGCATGGTGTGTGTGTGTGCGCGCATGGTGTGTGTGTGTGCGCGCGTGCATGGTGTGTGTGTGTGTGCGCGCGTGCATGGTGTGTGTGTGTGTGCGCGCGTGCATGGTGTGTGTGTGTGCGTGCGCATGGTGTGTGTGTGTGCGCGCATGGTGTGTGTGTGTGCGCGCATGGTGTGTGTGTGTGTGCGCGCGCGCACATGATGTGTGTGTGTCTGCGCGCGCATGCATGGTGTGTGTCTGCGCGCGCATGCATGGTGTGTGTCTGCACGCGCATGGTGTGTGCCCTGTGATGGGTTGGCACCCTGTCCTGGCTTGTTCACTTCCTTCCACCCAGAGACTCCAGGATCGGCTCCAGATCCCCTGTGACCCTGAATAGGACGAGCAGTTACAGAAGATGGATGGATGTCATGCTAGTAAACATGGCTGGTATCACCACAATGCTGAATTACCTGTACTTTTTCCAATACTGTTGCTGGTTCTTGTACAAATCAGACATATATGGAGGGTTCCTGCAATCCAGGCCCATTCTTGGTCAGTTTATCACTTCCAGTGAGACTTAAGCAGGTGTATGTGAGCAGGAAGCCATGCTATTAAGTGAAGGTTTGCATGTGAAAATGTAACTAAATTAATGTAAGTATGCCCACATTACACAGTAATGAAGAATCTGTTCTATTACTGCTGAATAAAAAAAAATTAGGAAATATAAATTTTAATGACACTTTAAGTTGGCTAAGGCAGTGTACATTGCACATGGGATGGTATATGGGTGAAATTGTACATACATCACTAACAGACAGGCTTCTGGCCAGTCAGCACCTGCGTTTAGGTCTGTTCCGCACACGCACAGCTGATAGGAAGTGCACTGCCCATGTCCCACCCCAGGAGCTGGCTGCGTGACTTCCACAAAACACTACTGAAGCTTCCGGTATACGTTTAAAAAAAAAAAAAAAAAAAAAAATCACACTTGCACTCCTCAGTGAGCCTTTCCCACCCCCACATAAACACTGACACCCCCTTAAACCACCCCTTTTTAAATAAAAATGAGCACAGTGTCATTTCAAATAAACTATATAACCCCCATGAGGGAGCATCCAGAGCAAAATCATGGACTGAGGGATTAATGTGCTTTTGCTTTTATCATAACGAACATTAACGGGCCTGATAAACCCGCCCCCCCTTCACAGAATGGACCAGTATCGGGCAATAACTGACAAAATGAACCACCGTTGCACTGGGAGACGGCCTGTTTCACAGTGGGAGCGGGGGGCAGAAGTGGACTACAGATGTAAATAAAAGGAATAAAATAAGCACTCGGCTATAGAGGGGAGGGAGAAAACACGAAAGAAGCAAACCGCAAACGATGTTTGGCTGCAGTACATTTAAAATCTTCAGTCAAAAAAAAGAAAAAAATCTAAGCTGAATCCCTAATACGATGAGTAACCATAAAGTTCAGTCCTTTCCAGGAAATGTGAAAGTCACATTTAATCTCAGCTCCACTGCAGGGTTTGGTATAGAACTGGGTCAGCCCGACACCAAAACGCCCACAACACAGACCGCTGTGCTACCAGACTCCATTTCCAGGGTGTTCGTTTGGTCCGGGGGTAGTGTAGGCGACAGGAGTCCAGTCCCAGGTTTGGCCACTAGAGAGGGTGTAAGACCCTGATGGTGGAATGCAGATTGAGTGCTTAAGGGCGGCACGTTTTTACACTAGATCCGGATGTTGCTCCAAGGTGAAATCCCAGACGGCCTCGTTAAGGCTCTGAGCTGAGCAGTCTTTCATCAAACCTGCCCGGAAGAAGCAGGGGGCAGGTTTTCATTCGAACAGGCAGCTCAGGTGCCCGATGGTTTAAGCATCCATGTGCTTTCAGGTGAGCACCAGCGGACAGGAAGGAGTGCCAGCGTGCCTTCAGAGTCAGCAGTGATGATGCGTGGCCATGAACGCTAAACTGTACATAAAAGACTCCTTGGCAATAACACTTTGGGTTGTGTCATCATTGTGACAACCAACGACCAATGATCTAATTCTACAGTATTCTGAAAATCCACACTTTCAAAATTTGCAAAGCTGAACAGGTTTAAAAAGAGCTAAAATTGAGAGCCACCAGACACAACACTAAGGCAGAAAATCTGCACTGGAGCCACAAATTTTAAGGTGGCAATAAAAAGAAATGTGCTGAAACATGTTACATACAAACACACACACTCACTCGGGTAAGATTGCACATCGCAAACAGCCATCTATCCATTTGCTAGAGGGGAGAATACTCAACCTGTCACACTGTCTACACCCCAAACAAGGCTTTAAAATCAGAAACTCTGACCGTGTATCTCAATCATAACACGCACACTCAGTTGTGAACTACTATAGAAAACATTTTACACAATACTTAAAAAAAAAAAAAAAAAAAAGTCATCCTCTAAAAATATAGGTGTAAGAGGCTTAATGCCATGTCTGAGGTCCACTATTTTTGGGACATCTAGCAAACTGAATCACAGCAGAGTGGATGGGAGCCGGGATCTTCCAGGTTGCTAAGTGCTGGGTTGGATCCCAGCACGACTGTGGGCAGGCAGGGTCAGAGAAATCATCTGCAATCGGCAACTTCTCCTAAAAAACGGAGAGAGGAAAAGACTGCCGAATTAATGTTTAAGTAGAAAACCATGTGGAGTGCTCTGTCAAACAAAATTTACTGCATATAAATTAGTTATTAATTAACGAAGCCAGACAATGTAGCTCATTAGACAAATACGCGAAACAAACCCGGAACTGCCACAAAACTGAAGGTGTCTGGCTTCAGGACCGTTTCTGTTAAGGCCTCTCTGTGCTCCCTGCCCTTGCCAGAAGGTTCCGTCTCTTTGTAGTGGGGCACACCCACTAAAGTTATGCGTACCTGTAAAGCTGGAGGGGGCTTAGAGGCTATAGGAAGCCACCCCGCCCATTGGCACTGCGTCCCTTTGACCTCATCTGCTCCTGAATAGGGCCAGACTAGAGAGAGAGAGAGAGAGAGAAACAAATCAGTGCTTAAGCCAGTGAGGGAACAGTGTGTCATCCGCTTCTTACAAGGATATTATGGGTAGTGTGGCTTTCTGCTGTTGGGGGGTGGGGGTGTGATTGTATCACGCTGGCCTTTCATTAGTAGCTGTCGCAAGCCTAACCATGTTCTCTCCGGCAGTCTGATGCACCGTGAGATCAAAAGTCTTGAAATGAGGAGTTTCGTAACGCGGGCGTCGGTGACAGCTCAGGCTGTTACCAAACTCTCCCCCTGAGCTCAGCTGTGCCACCCTTTGTTTCAGATCCTATACTCCTGTGAGGAAGGGGGAAGGGACTGATGTGTTAAAAGGACACATCCTGCTAAGAACCCCCCCCCCCCCCTCATTATGTTGGCCCGGAAGGTACCTCAAAGGGGTACCGAGTACCCCAACAAGAAGGGGGGGTTGGGGGGGGGGGGGGGGGG